TTCTTATATAAGGTACCATAGTAAGATAGCCGATGCACAGTTCAAATTCCACGACACATGAGGCTAACAAGTAAGTAGTATACGTTAGCCATTCGCTTGGTGTTTAATTATTCAATATCCAACCGGAAACCCCGAAATCACACTTCCCAGTTTACCTGTGATCCCGCAAATGATCCTGCCGGCGAAATGCCTTTCCGCAAACGTCGCAGGGGAAGGGGCGTTCGTTGGTATGAGTTCGCTCATGAATGAGGAGGTTATAGGACTTGGTGAAGTTTCGACGACAATACTGGCAGATGTACTGTTTCTTTGTCCTGAAAAATGTGAGAGAAGTCCATATTAAGCCATCTGGACGATACCGGTGACAAGCGGTAAGCTTAGTAGGTTGAACTTACCGAAATCTGCCCAAGGGCCTCGTTTTCTCCAGTCTGTCAACCCTCAGAGAAAGCGAATTCTGCACTCGGAACCTGTCGCGACAAGACAAGAAAAAGAAGCAGGTCATCGGAAGACAGCTGTCTCGGTAATGATTGAATATATAAACCCATTTTTAATTACCAAAATCTACCTACTGATTTGATTTAGGTGGACGTGTTATGCTGGGTTTTTTCGTGATACGGCGTTTAGGATTGGTGTTCGGATTTTGAGGCTAGAGCTATAATTTGGGGTTAAGATTTAAAGTTTGGGGTTGGCGTCCGGAGTTTGCAGCTAGGGCTAAGAGTTGGTGCTAGGATTTAGGATTCGAAGTGGGTTTAGTGTTAGGTTTAAGGTACAGGTTAGGCTGGGAATTAGGGAAAGCGAAAGAGCTATGCTTAAGTTTGCTTGTCGCATACGATCTTACCCAACTCTGTCTTATTTAACTAATAACCTTGAATAACCTGTTTTCGACCCTTTTAAACGCATATAATTCACGTCTTTCAAGTTAACGGTCTGTTCCGGTCCCTCGTTGGAGTGATTAAATAAGTATATGGCAGAAATAAGTTTTCTCAGATTCCCTTAGTTCCCGAATCCATTTGCATTATAGATAAAATCCGTATTAAGATCCCTCGCGCACTACAGGAGTCCATGTGCCCTACATTCTCAATGGACTTGCATATTCAATTCCTGCCTACGTCTCTATGAAATTTAATAGACTTAATTAGCAGGAAAGTGGTGTTTCTGTGGCCCTTCTTCCTCGACTTCTACTTCGTGCATGGGCAGCGAGTGCAGCTGGGATATCTTTTGACTCAGTTTTCGGTAATCTCTACTGAACAGTATCCGGCCTCGTAAATCATAGCTGACATTAAACGAATTCTTTGCCAAGTCTTATGGATCACGTGACGCTATCACAGTGCGCGCGGTGAGTGATACGCAAAGAAAGCTACATGACCACTTTGGAGATCCGGTTTAGCTACACCGGCATTGAAAACCCAGGATGGAGTTCGGGATTGTCTTCTTGGACATCCACTGGAACGCTGCAACAACCTCGTAAAACATCACTGCCAGTGGGGAATACCCTCACCGTTGTGATGCATTTCCGTCGCGACTCACTCTAGTAACCACCGCGGCAGGAACACCAACTGGACACAATGCGCACTCCACTCGTGCTTTGGTCTGATCGAACAGGTTGGCAGTTTGGCAGTACCTTGAACTCCCCTAGTTTATTCACAGCGTCCGCGTAACAGTCAAAAATCGCACATCTCTCTTCCGTCATATACGAGCACACGACAGCCATCAACAAAATATCTTCCATCACTTATACATAAATCATACTGCGAAGTTTGTCAACGGCAGGAGGATGGATTAGCCACTTTGGACAGAAGCATGGCAGCACAGCGGCTGCCGCGATCGAGCTCGTTTCCTATTGACCAAAAGGCATAGACAATTCACTGATGAGAGAGGGGCAGAGAGACTGGGGCGAATGTTGAGGTACCTTGGGCCAATTCAGCGCATAGTTCCTTAAAGGTGATAAGGATAGTGACTCTCTTCCATGCCAGAGTGTAATGGATCCTTTCTAGAGCTATCGTTATGGCATTCTCGCAGATATGAGAATCGACAGGTCACGTTGAAAACATCTTCTTGAGCAAACGCATGTGCGGTAAGCATAGCCATCACATCTGTCTCGCCAGTCAGTGCGCCCACACCATCTTCTCATCGATATGGCTCTCTCTCTCTTGCTGTTGGAACGATTTGCAATTAGACGGGTTTTGGGCAGGCCTGCTTCACAAAGAACACAGTGGTGGTCCTCATCACCTGGGAAAAACATACTATCGGCATCCCTGAGATTGGCCAATTACTGTCAGTCGTCGTCTGGAGCATGTTTGACCTCTGAACTCCGGGTGTTTCTGGTGGACGCATGCACTCGGGGACGGGAGCGCGAGGCCTTTTTGAACGTTCTCTGCCCAGTCCTGCAGAGCATGTTACGTCGGCCAGAGTTCGAGAAGGCCTTCCTGTTCGATAGAGAAAGAAGGAAAATGACCTTCCTCTCTTGATTCTGTCTGATTAAATTGGGGAGCGCTTTTCATAAAGTTCAAGCAGTTTATCGCGTTTCGGATTATCGCTCAAAGTCGTTCCCGAAGTGCACCTTGACACGATGACAGAAGTGACGGCGAGCCGATCTGAGAATCAATATCCTGGAGAGCAGAATACCAGGTTACACGCAGAAAACTCAGCCGATTCTGAAACTCGAAGTGCATTTGCCAATATTTTTTGAAACGCCTACAGTTGGATGGCATTACTTAACTGAAGTTGAAAGACGGACCAGAAGGGTACGTGGTTTTAGGTCAGTTGCCACAAAGATGCATTTTAATTTTTAGATGAGCGTCTTGTCAGCCGCTGGAATAAACTCCACCTGCTGAGATGTGGAGTCAGGAAAGAAAAGGCAAATAGCATAAAAAATCGGGACTCTATCGAAGCGTCTTTGCTCAGTTGGTTAGATTTCTGTCACAGATTCACATCCCGTGGAGGTCACGAAGTTTTCCGAGACTGGGTCAGTTAAATTACTAAAATCTGCTAAAACATACATTCACGAATTCAGTTCTTTTTTAATGTTGTCATTGTGATTTCTCGGACGGTCGTTCCGGCTGTAGTTCCATTTCGGAAAGGGTGTTCTTTCAACCATACCACCTAACCTGCCCTTCCGCGTAATTCACGCTTGTATCCTTTAGGTTGGGTAGTCCAGAGCCCACTGTTAAAACAGCCAATCCAGTGCGTTCGAACCAATTAAATTGAGCATCTTTACAGTGCCCAGCTGTTATTGAAGGGGAACGCCTTCCCAAGCGTTAACAAGAATAACTCAGATCTAAATTCTGACACCAGCGAAATCTGTAACTGGGGAAGGGGGTAAGTGAACACGCGCCTGCCTGATTAGACAGAGGTGCAGATAGGTCCATTTCGAGTTATATTCTCATGTATCTAGGCTACGAATAGCCGAATCGGTGCGAATGGAGCCTTTCAGGTTGTTTGTCGGGTATCAACGAACTACTCTAAAGACCTATACTAACAGATGATAGCGATAGTCGAGGAAGTGGCTCTTCGGCTGTTAAAAGCGTTGGTACGGGCGCTCCATCTTTCGTGGCCAATACCGACTCCAGGTGATAATTGAGTTCAGCTCAAACCCCCCTAATGATAGTCATGTGTATTCTGTATGTTAGTCCACAGGCCTCTCTTACAACCCCTCCCTCACTCTTTTCCAGTTCCGATGACCACAACACGTGGACTTCTTCATGTGGAAGGCGTGGAAACGGGGAATTTAAATAACCTCTTTTGAGGCATGAGAACCCTGTCCACGATTCAATACCTACATTTTCAGTGTAATTACGCTGGCCTGATTATGAATTACTGAAAATCTGCAACTATTTACTGGCACAGACGAGTAACTGAAGTTTACATCGTTAAAAAGTCTCGTAGCAACCCCAAACTGATCGATTTTGACGCTGATGTCGATATTCCGATTCCGATGAGCAAAATATCAGGCTCCTGAGTAGCGGATGCAGTGCCAAACTGTGGTTTTTGTCTTCCAGTAAATGGCTCAAATAAGGCAAATAAGTGACAACAGACTGAGAATTGCTAATGATCGATGGTGAAGTCCGCGATTGGTTCGCAGGCCCCTGTTTCGCATTTATCGGTTTATCAAAATGATCTTTTGAGACGCTAGTTTTTTGCGTGGAAGTTCATCGCATGAGTTTGCGAACACCACTCACAGATTACTACTCCGCATCCAACTTCTTGAATTTACCAAGCAACACTATCTCCCCGATGTCTTTTCTGTCGTTGAACTGTTCTAATCACAATTAATGTACTCTTGTTTTGGTACCTAAATAAGGACGTGCTGGGATGCAAGGCCCCCCTTTTTCGAACTGACACTTAGGTGGCTCATTACAGCAAATGCTTTCGGTGCAATAATTATTCGGTTTCCGAATGAACACTCGCGCTTTTCACAGTGTCTGCCATCAGTTTGAGATGCCTCACTAAATTAGTATGTGGTCGAAATTTTCTATTACGCTACCCCGTAATTTCTATACTAATATTCTTGATTTTAGACTGGAGATAATTGAAATGAACTTCCGCTCACCTTGAAGTTAGTTTGAACTTCGTCTCTTTTATTTCGCCATCCAGTTTGACTGGGTTCTCTTCATTTGCCTTCGGAGGGTCTCGGCAGGAATCGGCCAACTTGCGAAAATCAAATGGCATCCAGCTTGTGGCTGCTTTTAAAAATTAAAACAAACAGACCTACTTATAATTTTGTAGTAAAATAAATTGCTCCATTATATTATATAAACAAGCTGACATGGGGCCCTCACCGGTCGCCTGAGGAAACACGCAATTTTCGTCGTTCTTCTGAGTTTCTATTTGGGCCAGCCGGTGAAATCCTCGTCTGTCCACATTCCGGAGTGTCGGATGCATCCTCTTTGGTTGTTTCCAAGCTGGTAGACCCACGTCCTTGCGTAAGAGGGCGTCACATGGCAAGCGCATCTCTGCGACAGATGCGGTACTAACTGCAGGAATGCTGTTGGTCTGTAGACTTTCTAGAGGGTCAGGGATGTCCCTTTTCTCAGACCGTTGTCTGATGCTTTCGGAGATGATGGGCCTTGGGGTCCTGACTTGCGCTGTGACAACGGAGTGTCTCTGAGATGGCCGTGCAAGAAGTGGGCTCCCACACCCACATCTTCCATCTGTTGATGTTGATCGGGAGTCTCGCTGTACCTCAGATTGTTGGAGTCGATGAAGCCATTCAGAGAACGCATGGCTGGGACCTTGAATGAAAAAAAAGTATGGGAGTCATATTAGAATGGTATCGTTTGTCTCTGCATTGGGGAGGTGCCCCATTCCTTGAGCTGTACGGTCCGTTCGTTCATCCAGAATCCTCGCCCGAAGGACTCACCTAGGCCCAGGTGTGTGTTGAAGGTGTTGGACTGCCGCCCACGATGGACAGAATAGCGGGTGACGTTGTTTAATTCCCACGTGACACAATCTGGTTCACTAATCGTCCATACTTCCTCCATCAGCCTCGACCATGACGATAACTGATACCGGCTACGGTACCATCGATATGGTTTCGTTTGGCGATTAGTTGTGTTTCCGCAAGTTATGACGTTTTAACAGTGATGGAGACGTGAAGACTCAGTGTAAACAACCGTGCTGACTTTGTCCGAAGACATTAGGAGGTATCCGAGACAGCGACCCACCCAAAGCTCGCTGTATGTGTAAGGGAGAGAAAAACAGGATTGAACAGACATCGTCATCATGGCGGGAATCTATTTAACGTTCGTCGCAGAAAGTCCAGCATAAAGACTTCCAAGACCGCCAGCTGTCGAATATGTTGAAATCAAGGTGTGGACTGTATAAATCGACGAGGTGTTTTCAGCGCCAACCGGAGATTGGGTAGGGTATGGTACCTAACCTAAAGTGCAGCGGCATTTTTGGGACACAACTAAGGATGTATGTGGTCCGAGGAAGTTAACTTTCTTCTGTCCAAGCTGTCTGCGAATGATGTCAGTCCAAGAGTGACAATAATTGATCGCGCACACCCCGGCCATGAAGATATCTGGCATGCCGAAGTATGCAAAATTTTATTGGACGACAGTTGTCGGAGTTGTCTGATGGGAGCAGGCCGAAACGACTATAACTGGGACGTCATTATGGGCCTTTTCATGGTAAATGGATAAAACAACGTTATAAGGACGTGCCGCGAAACCTCCTGAAAAGCCTCCAACTTAACCTAGATATCTGGGAAACGCCTACACGGGAGCGTCAGTCATGGCGATCAGTTTTAAAACCAATTTAATAGAGAAGACCGAGGTCAAACAACAGGCGCTAATGCCTAGAATATCGCGCACCAACATCACCATCACCCATTCCCGTCAGTATGTTTCTATTATCAGCGTGAATTCGAGACCCTTATTGACTCTGTTGGAAGCATTCGGACTCAATACAATGCTAGTTCTGCGAAACAACCTCAAACACAACTAAACACCATCAGTTTTCTTTACCGTGGACACCCATTCCACCTGTCCTCATTGCACCATTGTATTCCAATCCGGATTTTTTCTTGTCAGACATCTTCTTAACCACTATGACGAAAACGCCGACTGGACTTGAAGGGCAACCGCCATCATCAGTAATATAGGCAAAGAGTCAGATTTGCTACGCTGCAATTGTACGTTCGAATCACCCATAGAGCTGGTCAGAGACTTTCCAGTCCATTGCAAAACGACTACAGAACCAACTTCTGGAGTTCAGACTAACGCTAGTCTCTGAAGCCATCCATTCTTGCGCTTCGCCCAGTGGCAGTAGGGGCCCGTTTTTGTCACCTAAGCATTCACGTCACTGGTGGCCGGAATATCTCATATGACTCAAGTTCACACTGCTTCCAGACATGCAATCGCAGCATGAGGTTTTCTGACCACATATACACACACTAGCATCGTCCACTCCTCACACCTCAACGCTACAGTGTTGTTTTCTAGTGTTGGTAATGACGGGCTTTCGCTCGTCAGCGTTACAAGTAACTGTGGAGGAGGAGGCAGGGCATCTGGGAAAAAAGTTTTATTAGCCTGACGTTTCGGATTCCTGCTCGAACTCGTCATCAGAGACAAAAGCAGATACGGGTGGTGGTGGTGGTGGGTTCGAGCGGGAACCCGAAATGTGAGGCTAATAAAACTCTTGTCCCAGCGATCACATCTCCTCCTTCACGACTGCTCCCTGGGACTCTCCTCTTCGCTTCTACTGGCAGTGTTCTTTTGGTTGTGTTGGTGGCATTAGAGTCGAGACGATTCGTCCAGACTCCGCCCAGCGGTTGTAAGGGCCCATTTTCGTCATATGAGCATTCACGGCATGGAATATCGCGCACCCCTCAGGTTCACACTGTTTCCACACATGCAATCGCCGCACGAGGCTTTCTGACCATATGTACACACACTAGCATCGTCCACTCCTCACGCCTCAGTGCTACAATGCTGTTTTCTAACGTTAGCTATGACGGTCTTTCGTCCGCTAGCGTTACACGCTACTGTTAGAGACTCTGCGCCACTACCGGTCTGTCGACAGGCCTGGAGAGACCAATGGCGAACAGGAGAGGAAAAGGCTTCGAAACCGATTCTGAAACATTTCTCCTCATCACAAATCAGCGCGTTACTCGATAATATTAAGTTTGACGTATCTGAACCTATCCCGATGTTCTAACAGTCGTGACTTGGAGGGCTGCCAATTAAAGGGATAACTCGACCCCAGTCGAGACTGAGGATCACAATGCCATGACTTCTTACGAATGTGTCAGCCACTTCGATTGTATGTGATCCGGGACAATCTAAATGAAACTGGTCACGTATGTAGTCCTTGATCAGGTCGTATATGCAAGCGCAAAGGGGTCCTTTAGCTGTCAGTCATTGCATCCACGCCCATCTGACGTCGACCAGAGACTACCTTGCCGTCCGAACACGACGACTGTGGAAAGCCAGGGTGAGGTAGATTCACTGGAAGCCTGCTCCACCATAGACGAAGTTATGCGAGATCTCATGGGCAGGGGCAGACATCGTTGCTTGCGAAGACCAAACTAGCATAGAGGATGATATGTAATGAAGGGCCCACTCAGTACGTTCCACTCACCTGCCGTGCAAAACTAACGCCTTTTCTCCGCTGTACATTCTGCCCCTGCCTTCGGATCGAAATGGGTGATGCAGGGGAGGGTCCGGTAGATGCTGTGCAAGTCCGTCTCACCAAAACTGATTCATCTCCACTCAGTGAAGCGCGCGGTGGAGCCGTCCCGCCCAACACAGATGGCCGGAAACAACCTGCGCACCCACATTGCGCAGACGGTTCAAGCGCGTCAATGTCCGCCTGCTACTCTGCAAGTGAGTACCTTTCTACCCATACAGGGCCCGTTAGGTGCATATGGCTTTGTTAACTTCGCTTCCACGATACCGCAACCCATCGGTTAGATCTCATCTGAGAATCCTTTCTGTCTTGCAAGCGGGCATATTTATGTGTCTGCTTGCAGACAATGGTCGGGAATATGGCTGGTTGGACAGGACAGTTGTAAATCCAACAGCAAGACCTCCAAAAAGACAGGACCTCTTCGTTAGCTGGACTTCGAGGCACCTGACTCGCCCACACGTGGTGTATGCTGATAATCAAGCAGGCCCTTACACCTGATGGCAGTTCGACCGTCGTTCCCGACGATGTCCATCCTGTGCTCCATCGCAAGATGAGGCACGTACGGTGACTTGCACGTGATTCGGTTTGCAGTGAATGTAGACGTGCACAGCGTCTACCGCACTCGCTCCTCCTCCTCACCTAAACCCGATGTTCACACATAGTCAGGAAGGCCGGAGGCAAAGAAGGGCGCAAGTGGCTGGCACGGCCGGACCCGCACCTAGACGTGCTAGCACACTCCCTGGTCGATAACATAGACTTGACCAGGACTTTCCATCATCAACAACAACACCAACAACACCCTAACAAAGGTCAGAAGGACGAGGCTGATGGCTGAACAATCATGCCCACCACCCGCGTATACCCAGCGGGAGCGCAAGCGCATCTACCGGCGGGGAATCAGGTGTCAGAAAACTGCAAGCGCACACCAGGCTGCAAGGGCCATGGTTTGCTGATACTGGCATGGCACACGCTTTCAGTGGACTCGGTGTCAAGACAGAGTCAAAAAGACCGGAGGCAGGGGAGGGCACAGGTGACTGGGGCGGCCGGACCCGCACCTTGGCGTGCCACTACACTCCCTGGTCCAAACAACAATTGACCAGGAGTTTTCACCAAGAACACCATGAGGGGTCAGAAGGACAAGAATGACTGGGCAGCCATACCCACCTCCTGTATACCCAGCGGGAGCGCAAGCACATCTACCGGCAGGGAACCAGGTGTCAGGAAACTGCAAGCGCACACCAGGCTGCAAGGGCCATGGTTTGCTGGTCCTACCATATCAGACGCGTACATTTCTTGAGGTCCTGGCACCTGATGAATACGCGGTCACGGACCATGCAGCTCTCGTTCCTGCAGACTTGTCAGTGCAATAGTCTGGGAAATCGATTGTCTTTAAAAATGTAGCCAGTCAGAGCGGTGCGTTGGATATGAATATTGTGCGACATCTAGCAAGGCTTCTCCGTAGCCATCGCCCTACGAATTAGGGCTGGGTCTGACAGAGTACTTGCCCTGTACAGCATCCCCCGAGGCTCTTCGGGAATTCTAAACTTACGCCTTGGGATCTAGAGCCAGGTAACTCAACATTGATGCCAGCGAAACAGACAGGTGCGCGGGCAATTACTGTCGAATATGATTATTCAGTATTCAAGTAGCCTGAGGTCGGAAGGGTCTTTATTGACCGACTTATTCAAATTCCAGAGTGAAGGGCGAGCACTTTACTATATAGTTGATCATATGAGTCAAAACTAAAAAGTACAAAATGGAATGTAAACAAAATGCCTCTGACAGAATATAATTAACAAATTGTGGTTTGTATACCGTTTAATATGCATGGAAATCCGAAATTCATAGAGGCTTGGTAGAGTACTGCCTTTAGCTGAGTGCAACTCCGACCACCTGGGTAGAGGACCTAATTCACTAAACTAGGTGATGTGATCCTAATGGCTTAGAGAGTTATGCGATCTTGTTTAACAGAAATGTTTCCTCCAAGTAATCTGAAAATTCTAAGCGCAAATGCAATAGCAAGTTAGATGTAAAATAATATTACAAAGGACAAAAATTTTTAAAGTCAATACTGCCATTTTCTCAAACTGAATATTTACAGAGGGCGTATTTTCGCGCACAAAAAATTCCCAGGAGATTAAATTTTTTTGCATATCCTCTGAGGGGTCAAAGTTAACCTAATCAAAAAACCTAACCTTAACGAAAGAATGCAAATTATCTGAACGGTTAGTTTTTTGAGTGCAAGTTAGGCAGAAAATAACAGGGTGATTGACATAAATTTTTAGAATCCAAAAGTACCATTTTCTCAAATTGACTATTTGCAGAGGACGCACTTTCCTGGATAAAAATTTCCTACGGAAAAATTTTCTGAAGCGCCTTCGAGCGACCGAATCTAATCTAAGCAGTAACCTTACCTTAGTGAAAAGATGGGGACTAATTGAGCAGTTAGTTTTTGAGCGTATCTTACGCACGGCAAGGAAATGCTCGCCAAAAGAGAGCAGACTAGCGTGTAGGAAACATTTCAATATTCCAATTACACAGAAGTTATATTCTCTATTTAGAAACATATCCTACAATTGTTGCTGTTTACTTTCCTCAGAAATCAAATGCGAACTTGGAGTAGACCAGTTTATTCTAGGTTTATAGGCTCAGACCAAAGTTTTATGCATGAATATGCCGAAGTCCATGAGCCATCGCGTCATATTCATTAACTTCTGACAGGCAGATAGTAGTAATGGGATATCATACAAACAGCACTCTTAAAAGCATAGTTAAAAGCCCATATACTCGTGTTTCGCCAATATTCTGCCGTTGCATGACACAGCTGTGCGGGGTTTGGCCTATCAGCGGGCTCCCGAGCATTCTCCGTCTGCTTTCGGCCCATATATTTATACATAAAAACTTCGGTTTGAGCCTATAGACCTAGAATATGCTGATCTACTCCAAGTTCTCAATTAATTTCTGATGAAATTATAAAGCAACAATTTCTAAATTGGACTATCTGCCATAAAGAAGACGGGAATGTTGGAGGACCCACTGATGGGCCCAACCTCTCGCAGCTGCGCCATACAGTGGCAGAATATCGGCGAAACACGCGTGTATGGGCTTTTGACTAGTACCTGTGCTGTTAGTATGGAATCCCCCTACCCCAAAATAGCTTGCAGTGGTAGTCAGCATTTCATTAGTTTCGATGTCCTCTGTATCCTAGCAAGTCGTCTACTACGGATTCAGGAATCGGACTAGCTGCCATGATCACCAAACAGGGGGGTGGGGTGGGGGGGGTGGGGGGCATTCATCCGCTTAACTTCCGTTTGGTTGAACAGACAGCCTCAGAAACGGTGATTGGTAACAAATTCAGACGGTCTCCCTGGATAGCGGACGAATACTGTCCCTGTTCTACCCCGGTTTCGCCCTCAGCTAACCTTTCCGTCTACAATGGACCATGTTTCTTCGACTAGTTGTACATACTACTAGTAGTATATACCCTGCATCCAGAGTTTCACGCTACTTGAGCCGCTACGACCAGTCAAATCGTCACCCGAACGATAGATTCGGACAGGTCACTGATGCATGACGATAAGATGATAGGGAGATCAATTCCAAAGTGCCCGTCACTATGGCAATTCAGTGCATAGTTTCCTGGCTACAACCAATTTGACGCGCTGGAAACCATCATTTTGCGCAAAAATCGTGGTCTGGAGGGTGGCCGAAAACTCAGTCCTACTCGGAGTTCAGGGCCAATACCAATCCATGTAAGATTCGGGGTCTCCCCCCATCGTCGAAACCTGATTCCTGTAGATTTTGAACCAGTTGTTTGGAAACTGCGCCCACGCTCATCTCCGGTCATTTTGACTTCATTTCGTCCGTCAGGTGTGGTAATGGTGAGTGAGGTATGAGCCGAGCAAGTCCTCCTCTCAATATACCAATTCTCGCAAAAATCACTACTTTCTCCCCTCCGGGAGCTCTTCGCTGGTGAGAGCAAAAGGCTCTCAGGACTCTCCAGGTCTTATTAGAGTCTTGACAGGGTGTGGCTAAACGGCTACGGACGGCGTTACGTTTCCAAGCAAACCCAACGACCTCATCGTCATGCTATTACACCCTTCTTGCTCCCCCCCCCAAGCGGAAGCGAGATGTTTGAGCCTGTGGGCAATCATGATGCAACTTGGATGCAAGTGGCCATTTCGTCCATCCCGCCCCCCCTTCCCCTCTCCGTCCTGCCTGTAGGGTCATTTGGGGGCAAACGATCAAGTGAAGTCACAACGTGCATCGAGCCCGGATGCACTGGTCACAGTCGACGTTGCATGTTGCGCAAATGAACATGCCCAGGGAGGTTGGGGGGAGGGAGCGGAGAGGTAATAAAGAACTGGCGGCACGGCAACGGAGTTCTGGTGTCCCGATTCTGTGTCGATCAGGCAATGATCTACCGGTAGGTCCGACGGAAGTTTCGCTTTCGTCGACTAGGTGCTGGCAGCTGAAGCGCGTTAGGAAATTCCGCATAATTTGCACGACTTTTCCAGCTTTCGTAATAAGATCTTCCCCCTAGAAACCACCTACAACGCTGGGACTACCAACAAACCTAAACTAGCGCACCAATCATCTTTCTTCCGTAATTATGTGGCGGCCGCACCAGCGTCACATCTTACGGTGGGGCTTTTCATCCTTGGTCTTTTGTCACTCGCGATTATGCCTCCCAGACGGAGCCCATGTAACAATTAATCAACTAAACGATAATCAGCTGGTGAGTACACATCAGACCCGAAAGGGCTTCTTGCTCTGACCCACCAGCAAGCGGCCAACCCGCGACAACCTGCCCTGTGTACAGAATAAATCACCTTCCATTGCTTTCTGAATTCTGTCATCAGGCTGGACGGACTGCTTATGCGCGTTTTAAGCTGATCTTATATCGCTTGACTATCCCAAGTACTTAGTAACCCTAGACAAAGACAGGACATATTTTCAGCATTTATTGTCCGTGTTTTTCATCGATTATGCAAATGTAGCATTGTTGTCGGCCGAAAACCTACAATGAAATCGAAAACTTGGCGCAGATGAGACGCCGAATAAGTAATTGTCACGGACACTGAAGGAGAGACCGACATGCCCCTTACCGTTGCATTAATCATTACCGTCGAGAATTAACCCATACCCAGGCCACAGTCTGGGCTCCAGTCAATTTATTAGCGGACAACACCCTGCTCCTGGGCTCCTGTCGGCAGAGAGCAGCTCGGTTCATGAGAAGTGTCGCCTTGGAATGTCCATTTCTGGTTGATTTGCCGTCGTCAGCCGGAGTCAGGGCGGCGTCACTCGCACGTCCCGATGTCAGCTGACCTGACGGAAGTCTTTCATAAAGTAGTGGGAGTCGATATAAGCTAAGATGTGAGTTCCAGGAAGTAGTTAATAAGTTGATGTAATCACTGGAATAAGAGCTTCATTTGCCTGGCGTCTCGGGTTCATGCTCGGACCCATCATCAGAGACAGTGACAGACCCTTATATACTACTGGCTCTGATGATGGGTTCGAGCGTACCTTCGAAACCTCCGGTGAAGGAAGCTCTTGTTCCAGCGATCGCCTCCACTTCTTATCAAGTAGTGGGAGCGTTGCTGGGTGATCAGTCGACTGGGGTTCGAACCTTGGCCGTGCGTTATGGAGTTGGGGTATCACCAGCTGACGACGGCAAATAAGGCAGGAGTGGCCACTCTAGGGTCTCTGCGTCTGTCGACAAAACCTTTCGCTTGTTATTTGTCTTGAGACCGTCTGTGTGGGCTGTAGATCCTCAACTAAAAAATCGGACGAGAATTCCCGTTTCGGTCCTGCGATAGAGACGTATCGGTGTGCATCGCTCCAATCTGACCAGGTCAGTACTCCTGAATCTTATTAATTTCGATCAAGCGCAGAATTGTTGAAAAATCCAAGAATTTACTTTGGTAATTAATACTACCGGATATATGTGGCTATTTTTAAGTTTTGTTCGTCTCCCGACTTGCTCCGTATAGTCTACTTATTATCGTTTTGTCTGTAACGCTGGTTAAATCTTCGAAGTCCCCCCTAAAGTTTGTTTAGTAGGAGCATCTGACGTTAATACCAGTAACAAAATGATATTCATGCACTTCGATATCGAATCAGAAAGAAAAGTAGCCCAACAGCTTGTATTGCTCGAAATCTCCTACACTCGACTCCCGCCTCCGTTTCAGGTGCACAAATTTCACGCAAATTCTACCAGTTGTTGGACATATATTTTCTTTTGTATGCAACTGACAGTGAATGGAGGCGAGATGCATGCGTCCTCTCACATGCAGACATCGCATGATCCTGCGTTGCCCTTTAAGCACGCATAACAACAAAACTAAAGCATTTCCCCTCTCTCATTCATATAACCGCACCGTGAAGTTTTCCAGCGTCGAAAGGACCGCCAACCGGTTTTGGTGTACCTCTAGAACGTGTTGCGCAATGAATAGCGTTCCTTGATGCCCATAGGCCAGGAGGAGGCAGAATGTAGTTTCGCCACTGTAGCCAACTTTGCGTTTCTATTGTTTTGAGGCAATATCAAACGGCCATTTCTGGACGCGTCCGCGCGCCTCTCAATTTCCCCATTCCTGTGGTGCAGAACATGCCGATCGGGCAACCCGACGTTCGGACGATCCCTGGCATTGGAGATCGTTACGACAATACATCCAGAGGAGGGTGGACCAGTCATGTGAACTGAAAATACAACCCTTCCTCCCGCAAAAGACCACTTCAAAGCTCAAAATGCTTCTTGCGCCGTTAGACTACAATAACTATACGATGTGAATTTTATGCCATTCTCTTCTCCAGGTGAGAGCCGAGTCCCCGTATAACAAACATTAAAATGTTATCCTCATCATGTAGACCGCAGCATCCGATCTCGTTTATAGTCGGTTTTACTTGAAACGTCCACCGATTTGTGGGAAGCTAGAATGAGGTCAGTCCAACTCAGGTCATTGTTGTGGACAACCAAACTATTGTAATTTGTCCATAGTCATGACTTCTGACAAAGTAACTCGGTCCCAATTAGGTCTGTGGGTCGGACTGCGATGACTCCTTTTGAATGAGATCATTATGGCACTCTCAATTGTCTGTGATCCCCCTCCGTGAATCCTGATTTGTGTGGATCGAAGGATCAGGTTGTGTGTGTGCGGCATATGTGGACAGTTTGTGTAGGTTCGTTGGCCTCTTCGTTCACGCCTCGTCGTTGAAACATGATCTACGGGCAAGCTGCCACTTCGGCACGGCGGTGGATCTTGTAGTTTTTGCCGCATCCGAGGCGTCAATACTGGCGATAGCGGTGGTACTGATAATATTACTGTTGTTTAGGGAGGATGTATTGATTTTATTCTTGATGTGACAGCTAGATCTCTGTTCCCTAGTGCAATTACATCTGTTAACGGACTCCTTCAAAATCTTCTTGGATACATGGATACAGTACCGTTTTATGTTCTCGTGAGTCTACATTCCAGCTCTGTCATATTGGCTTTTATCACGGCGATGTCCATCATGTAGTGTCGAAAACAATATTAGTTATTTTTATTGGTGCCAAAGAATGACTGTTTGCTGTTTTGACTATCGAAACCTCGTTAGTCCATCAACAGCAGCCAGATGCTCAATTTTGTTGCAAGTTTCTTACAAAGTTTAACACCCGTGAAGCCGTCTGGATACCTTGAACACTTTGGCCCGTAGGATGGCAAACTGATTGATCCAAAAATCGACTGGGGGTCCTTAACTTAGCAAGTTCCTTAAGGACCATTTCTGGTCCGCTTCTTGGTGCAAGTCAAATCGAAAGTGCTCTCTTTACAACCCTAATTCGTCTCGTTTGTCGCATACAGCAAGCTCCATTCTACTCAATAGCATAAGTCTGATACTTCCCCGCTACTGATCGTGGCCAGTTGCCATAAACCCTTGAAATTTCCAGATGTTTATAATAATTTGGTTTGCCTTAAAATTTCGTTAACTGGTTTGATTCTGACGCTACTCCCCCCAATGCTAGACTGAAGTTTTGTTTCCGGGGGTCTGTCACTAGCCGGTTAGCATAAGATCAACCCAGACTACCCTGGCGTCGTTTGGGAGTCCAATTCCTGACACATGTCTGCTACGACAGCTTTCTAAAGGATGACCGCATGGGAGAACTCATTGTTAACCAGCAAAACCTACTCTCTGTCAATGTTTAAGGAAACATCGATATTTATCTGTGGAATACAAACGATATTCTAATTAGTTTGCGGCAGACATTGGTAGTCAAAATAAGAACCCCGAGTCTTACAGAATGGTCTCGAATCCGGGGATTGTAGGTTCCGACCGTTCCACTGAAGAGTTGCCTTCGTAGGTACCTCTTCAGGTGGTCCACAGAAGGGACTGAAGTTCGTTGGCTGGGTTGTTCTAATGTTGCCGTTTGCCAGGCGTGTCCGACTTGACTTGAAGTGCGATACCAGACGAAGAAACTCGGCCGGAGGCGGTATGTGGAAGGGTGTAACGCTGGTTTGCAAGAGGGTCGTCATCATGGCCGTCAATGTAGTTCGAGGCGGCAGGGCAGCGAAGTGGACCGAATGGTTTGCGGAAGGTCTCGACGCCATCGCTGTGATACTGCTGGGATGGAGGAGAGGAAGATAAAGCTACTGCAGGACGCAGCCTCAAGTACGGATGTTTAAACCGGACTTCGGATTGGCTAGGCGAGCGCAGGCATTCGCGCTGTGTGATTACTGTTCCCGCGCCTACCCCCTGACCTACCAGGCCTCTGATTGGTTGACGCTACGCCGGGTATCCGGTGCCTCTGCCTTCTAGCCGTGGGTGGGGCGGTCGCGTGGGGAGGGGGGGGGAAGCAGTTAGGTGGGATGAACGGCCGTTAAGGGCAGGGACCAAAACACTCATTGATGCATTCCTACGCATCCAGTGCCTGGTAGGCAACCAGTGTCAGTTTATATCACCGAATTATTCTGTCCAGAAGCATTTTGGGGGAGACAGTATATGAGCTTTCCTGTAGCACTGCGGTCTCGAAAAAACTTTAAAATAAAAGTTGATTGAAGAAGAGATATCCCTTGTTTGGCCTCTGCCAGGAAAAACGGCCTATATCTATCGCAGTTTTTTATACCAACAGCGTAAGTGAATTGACAATGAACATGGGGAGCACCCTCGAACGCAGACAGCCCAGATGTGCTTTTGACGGTGATTTATTGTTTTCTTTATCTACAGGACTTGATAATGACATAACTGTAATTATTAGACCAGGCTATACGTACTACCAGTGAAAAATTAACAAGGCAAGGCTGAAATCCTGGTATGTTAAGGAGCGGAGAAGCATTTCGATCACTACTTTATATGATCAGCAGTGAAATTATACTTCGGGACAGTTACGATGATAAACTATGGCTTGTAATGGGAACCGTCAAATGATGATCTTAAGGACTCTTTTAAACATAGTTAAATATTGATAATGGCAAAAAATGGTTCCTGCACTGCAGAACAAATCGATCACGTGACGCATTTGTTTACGGGCAGGTACCGGAACAAACTAGTAAATACTAACACCACCGCTCCAGGCAGTCTAGTATGTACAAACGGGTCAAATTTTTGGATTGTAACATGAGAGCACTGGAATGATTTCGGAAAAATATTTTGACAACGATGAGGGCTTCCAGAGATAGTAGCCGTCTTGTTGATTTCATTACAATGAGAATCTCATTTTTGAGTTCCGCTTGTTTTATCCAAAGCCACCGCGGATGTAGACCAAGCAGGTGGTGTATATGGTCCGGGAAGGGGGACTCTTCAGGGAGAAAGCTCTGGGCCCCTCTCCTAACACCCCCTCACCGGAATTCATTTTGCATGTGTTCACAGTTCATACAAAAGTCGGTAGCATCAGCGACCTTCCTCGATGGGCCTAAAAGTCTGTAAGAGTCTGCTATGCCCGGATCAGCAAACCACGACCCTCACGGCCTGGTATGTTCAGGCGATTCTTCGACACCTGGTTCACTGCCGGTAGATGTACCTGCGCTCCCTCTGAGAATACAGGTCGTAAACATGGCTTGCCAGTCATCCTCGTCCTCTGAACCGTCGTGGTGCTTTTGTTGTTGGTTAAAATCCTGGTCAATTGTTGTGTGGACCAGGGAGGGTGTAGAGTGGAGCGCCAAGGTGCTGGCTCGGTCGCGCCATCCACCAGCGGCCTCCCTCACCTCTGATCTGCTTAACTGTGCCTTGACACCGGGCCCAGCTGGGGGAGGAGGAAGTGCGGTAGATGCAGCGCAAGTCTACACCCACAATGAACTAAATCAAGTGCATGTCACCGCGCCTTCTTCAATTCGCGGTGGAGCACACGGTCGACATCGTCGGATGCGAAGGACGAGCTGTCATGTGTCGATACTCATGAAATATTGTTCCATTTTTCAACATATTTCAAAAACAAAAGTCTACTAAGATGAGCTGGCGGTCATGCAGCCAGGCACCGGTTTTCAAGTGATCGTCAATCCAATCACCCGAACACATTACGCTCAAGAGAAACCGCTGGGGATAAGATGTGCACTTTTCCGGTTGACTTCTAAACCAACAGGTCGCGAGTTCGAGGCTCGGGTGTTCCACACTTCGGGCTTGGGTATGGCTGGCTGACGACGGCTAATAAGCCAGAAATGGCCATTCCAGTCTCCCTTGTCTTTGTCGTTAATATCATTCTGCCTATATATCACGCGCCGCTGCGCGGCTGCTGGTTGGGCTCGAGAGAGAGCCCTTAAGGCACAACGGAACGAGTGAGTTCCGTATGAACGATCGGTGAGCGCCCCCTAACAGTGTATATTCCCGATCGAAAACCGACAGGGTAACGGGCTCGTGGCCCGGTGAGTAGAGGCGTTGGCTTCTAAGCCAACAGGTCGCGAGTTCGAGGCTCGGGTGTTCCACACTTCGGGCTTGGGTATGGCTGGCTGACGACGGCTAATAAGCCAGAAATGGCCATTCCAGTCCCCCTTGTCTTTGTCGGTAATATCATTCTGCCTACAATCACTTCTGTATGGAAACAATTTTCTTTATTAATTTTTTTGGAGAACTGTGTCCGCATAAGGTTTTGTCGTTGAATGGGAAAACCCGCGTTTTCTAGTGTTCACCATATTTCCCAACCAGGTATTGAGTGCTTTTTGAAGTGAATCCACTAGACCCTACATGTTCGCACAGCCGATCATTTGGAATTCGTAAAATACTGCAGAAGGCGCGGATCAGGCCGCATACTTCATTCTAAGCGTTAATAAGCGGTCACGTGGATAATAATAATACGTAGCGCTTAAAGAAGGTCTAATATCCTATGTACTCAACACAAGAAACAATGCGCGTATGGGCATCTTCCAGTAAAATGACCAACTTATACACTTATTGAAAAAAAACAATGAAAGAATGTGCACACTGCATAAGTGGTGGTTTTTGTCGGTTCTTTTTCTCGAAATCCAACATCCTGTAGCGTAGCAGTCTTCCTGGAGATGTCGCCCCAACTAAGTAATCTTCTAATTTCATTTACACCAAATACTTGCTGGAGCCGCTTTTCGGCCCTTAGAAACAAGCAGCCTCGAGAGTCGGGGACTGCAGCCAGTTGTCGAGTACAACGCCAGGTTAGTTACGTCACTTGCCCAACACTCTCACAAGGCTGGTTTCCAAGGTATGAACTCTATCCGGAATGCTCACTGACTCTGTGAGACCCCTCTTCCCCTGGATGTCAACCTGGAGTTCGACATTGTTCCCTTATGGGCTATTTGGGAACCCTCGGCGTCTGAATCGGACTCGCCAGTAACATGTGGGGAGGGAATAGAGAACCAGATAAACCGAACTCGTATTCAGCCCTTAGTTTTCCAAGTACAAACATTCCGGCGCGCTCTATGCGTAGTAAAACGCACCAAAAGTCCTGGCCTGAGATGCTGGCAACAGGTGGGCTTACTTGGTCTTTTTCCACACTGACGACCCCTTACCCCTAACATTTTTCTTTCCAAAGTCGAATGGGCTAGATCGCAGTTGGTAGCCA